AAAAGGGCACAGTCTAGATCCATGATAACAAAGTCCTCTCAAATAGCTGAGCCAGGGTCCAAGCAAACCACATTCTCCACTTCTAGTTCAAGGAGCTTCCACTGCTGGCAGGATTTGGAAGTTGCAATGACTTGCTGCTACAATCTTCCCTTTGCAAATGTGTGTTTCTAGTACAGTTATCTTATCCCTTTTCCACTATTAAGTTTGGGTGTAAAGGAAGGCAGATAACTTGGCAGATAATAGGGCTACCTATCCAATCTTGGATGCTATAAATGGATGGGTATTTGTGGATCTCCCTTGGGAAGAGGGCACAATGTTATATGAGAAAATAAAAGTTCATATTTGAGAGGCAGAAATATACCATAGCAGAGACAATTACTTGTCTAACAATGTCTATCTTCCCTTTCATTACATTATAGAACTCCAAAGTTTTGGCTAGGCACCCAGCTAGGGTAAATTTTCTAGCTTCCCCTTGCAGGTGGGTATAACAACAAGTTCTACCAGTGAGAATGAATAATATCCACCACTTCTGGGTCATATCCTTCAAAGGAATATACAGCACTCTTCTTGCCTGTCTCTCTTCCACTGGCTGAATACAAATGTGAGAATCCAAACAACCACCTTAGACCAGAGATGGAAGCTAGATGTCAAGAACAGCAATGTAACCTTATACCAGCCCTATATCCCAGTCTTTGAACCAATGGGTAAAAGAAATAAAATGTTGGTCTTTTTTATATGAGCATTTTGAGGCATTTCCTGCTTATGGCAGCTTAGACTGAAATTAATAATATAGAGACAGAAAATCAGTTCAAGAATGAAAGATGCCCTTCTGCCATGATCAGTAAGAATAAACATGTGTCAGAACTTTTCTTATATTGATAGTGTGACAGGATGAGTTGAAGAGCCCTGAGAGCATGCATGGACAATAACAGGTTCATAACTATGGATTTTTGCTTTGTTTTTAGTTCTTCATAGATCAGTAAGTTTTTGTCTGGATAAAAGAGGCTAAATATGCCTAAAATAGCTAAAGAGTATTTTAGTGAGGAAGGAAGGAAACAGGAAGAAATATTATGGAGGAAAGATTAAAGATTCATTTACAACATTTTATAGAAAAATATGCATGAAGTTACCTCATCCCATGTTCTCCTAAAATTTTCTTAAATCAACTTTATTGATGCTTTTGGAGTTGGATTTAATTTTTTTGGAGGGAGTCACAGAAGGCTGAAATTTACCTCAAGAGAGCAACAAGAAGCCCAGGAGGACATGGTACATTACATTCTAATAGGAAACAAAGAACAAGAAAGTACTGGAGGTCTAAATTATTAAACATGCTGCCACTAAAGTAGGGAGAATAAGAAAAGGTGAAAAAGAAGCTCTTCAGGGAAAATATACCTTGACATTGCAATTTCAGACAAGGAAGGCCTTATTTATTTTCAACTATTGGTAGAAATTTTGTTTTGAATTATTTCTGCCTTTTCATATTACTTAATTATCTATGACACAAAAAAATTTCTTTGCTTAAATTCTAAGTATTTTTAATACCAAAGACTCAATTATAAAGAAAGTAGAGTTCTGAATCAAAGAATACCCCAGATCACCTAATTTGGACAACTCACTAAATAAGTTTTCTGATATGTTGTGTCTCTATCAAATGTACATCTCTCATAAAGCTACTTTTAAAACCAACCCTATAACAAATATTATCTTATCCACCCAAGATATTATATGTGGGACAATCAAGTGAACTTACTGTAGAAATCTGAATTCATTTCACTTCCCATCATCCATCTTACAAGATGCCCTCTGTGGTGGACAGAGATATACTGCCTAGATTCCCCTTCAAGGAAGAACCAATTGCTCCCATGTAGAAGTAAGCTACCAGCTAACCAGCCCTCCAGGATCCGTCTCAGCAGCCCCAAGGCTTTATCTTCCTTAGAGTGGTACACATCCAGACTGAGATACATGGGGTTATAAAGTCCCAGCCATTTAGGCTCAATGTAGGACAATTCTGACAAAACACACAGGCTGGCTAAGGCTTTATTAGGCCTGTACTTCTACAGTTCTGCTTTCCCCTCTGCCCAGTTTCTCCTTCTTCTCCTCTTTGCTTTCTGATATTGATCCCCATAAAAACCTTGCATGCCAAGGTCCATCTTAGTGTCTGCTTCCAGAGAACCCTACTTGGTTGGGTTGGATGCCAAAAGTGATCTAAGAAAGTGTGCAAAAAGACAAACTGCTTGCCACCTGGCTGGCAATAAGAACTCTCTTTGTCTAGAGAGTTAAGGTAGTCTGTTGAAGTTCAGGCTCAACAAAATCTCCTTTTAAATTTTTTCTTACCATTGCAGCCACACTAGCTGGAAATTTGCTTTTGGCAGTTCTGGAGATACTTCCTGGGCTAGTGAAAGGACTTTCTCAGGGACTGGTTCTCTAGTTTTGGAGCAAACCAAATTTGACATCAAGCCAATCTCCAAAACCAACAAGCTTCAATATTTTATGAAAAACGTTTTTGTTTATTTATTTTTCAGTTGATTGTAGGTGTCTGGTTTATTTTGCTTTTATTTATGTTCTTGTTTATGCATTTGCTCCTGGTAGCAATTTATCAGCAAACTGATATTTGTCTTATTACATTTTACCTACAGTATATGGTTGAAGAAAGGAGCCAGCTCATTTTAGTGCTATAGAGATGACTTATCAAGGATTTTTTTAAAATAATATAAATGACATCACTAAACAGACCATAAATGGTATCAATTGTACCTCATGCAAATAAACAAATTCAAAATTCTAGTTTTGACAATCCTTCCTTGAGTAAAAACACATTACAGAAACCAAAAAATGAGAATAATTTCAAAGTATTTGAAAGAATATTCAAAACTAATGTACTCAAAACTTGAAACCCAAAATTTTTCCATAAAGTTCTAATCTATTATTAACCATGGGGAGGAACTTAAGAAAAAATCTTTACAACCCCTTAAAAATGAAGTCAAGGAAATAGTCTTCTTTAAAAACAAGAGACAGTATAATGAGTTAGATAATGTCCCCAAAAAATAATTTCAAATTCTAATCCTGGATGCCTATGAATGTGATCTAATTTAGCAAATGGGTCTTTGAAAATATCATTAAATCCAGGATCTTAAGATGAGCTGATCTTATTTCACACAATCATCTCATTTCACTCTAAACCTAGTGATTGTTGTCTACAAGAAAGGAAAGATCTGAAACAGAGACACAGGAGAAGGCCATGTGAAGACCAAAGCAAAATTAGAATGGAGTGCATCCAAGCCAAGGAACATCAAGAATTGCCAGCAGCCAACTGGCACAGGGGTAGAGGGGCTAACCACCTCCCTTTTAATTTTCAGAGCTTGTCTAAAGATCTTTCCCGTGGCCTAGTTGAAATAGTGAAAAGCATAATTCCCTTCAAAATCAGATTCATTAGCAGCAGTCACTCTCCAAAACAGAATGGGACTAGATTTGTTAACTGCTGGGAAAGGGAGATTATGTCTCTTACTGGAAGAAGAATGTGGCTTTTATGCAAATCAATCTGAGATAATTATGGGTGCAGCAAAGAAATTAACATACCAAGTCTCCAAAATTTGAAAGTAAAGTCACAGTCAAAGTCATAGTCATAGTCAAAATTATAGAACTGGATGTCTTGGTTACTATCCTTGGCAGGACCCCTTTTAATACTCCTTTTGATTTTGTTATTTGGACCCTGCCTATTAAACCTACCTAATGAGACTTCTCTCCTCTCACTTAAAGGCAATCAAACTCCAGCTGGTACTACAACAAGGCTACAAACTGATCCCACAAATGGACCCAAGCATTCTGCTGTCTCCTCTTGACCAGACAGGGCAAGAGTTCTGTGAATCCCAAATAGAGAGGAACAACAGTCCACTGTCAGCCTGAAGCAGCTGTAAGAAGATCTCAGCTTCTCAGCCACCCAAAAAGAATTTTGAGATTATATCTCTCAGGGGAAAATGTTAAGCAGAAATGTTAAGCAGGAGTTCGGGGACACCAAGATGGCAGAGGCAGGGTATAAGAAAAATGCCACTGGAGGACAAGACAGGGAGATGAGTCCCATGACCATGGCAATTCCCTCCACAGGTTCAGTATTCTAAAATAACCAATGGGGATAAAGTTTTGGGGGCCAACAGAGGTGAGGCAAAGAACCTCACCCCCCCACTGGTACATAGGCCTATCCACAAGTATGGCTATATGCTGGACCGGTAGTCAGTGACGGGTATGATCCAATTGCAGTGGTATCAACCTAAGACAGGAGGCTGACGCCTAAAAGTCAGTTTTCCCATGACGGGTAAGAACCATATGTTGAATTGGACAAACCTAACAGGCACGGTCCCTAGCCAGATTGCTTGTTACTTAAACAGAAGGGGGGAGATGCTAAGAGCCAAGTATATGATGCATGGCATTTTTGGTCGAAAGGTGACGCCAGCTAGCCATTGAGATGATATGATTATGTTAAGATTTGCATTCATATGGATATTGGACTCCTGCTGTTCACCTAGGCCGGCTACGGGACTCCTGGAGAGTTCCCATTGGTTGGGGAAGTACAGTAGGAGGGAGTTCCGGGGGAGGAGCTCTCTCTGCGGTCCGGGAGGAGGCGGCGTGGGTGGAAAAAATCTTCCCGGGCAGTACCGGACATTGGCGGCAGTTTCAAAAAATAAACTTTGTTCCTGCTTGAGTGGCTTGTGATTTTGTGCCCAGCCAGACTGCGGCATAAAGTAGACAGTATTCTAAAGTAACCAATGGGAGGAAAATTGGACAGTATTCTAATCAGGTAAAATAGGGTAACCAATGGGAGTAAACGGGGCAAGGTCTTTAATCAGATCCATATAGGGAAGAGAACACTTCAAAGCTCAGCATACAAGACCTGAATTCTGGGCTCCATAACTGTGAGAGAAGAGTTCTGTTGTTTTCAGATACACGGTTTGTAATTCATTAGCATGGCCCCCAGGAAACCAAACAGACAATGAGTAGATACTTACTTCCACAGTGCCATGAGCTCCCCAGTGGCTGAAATGGGTTTTGATTCTGAGCAGAGCTGAATGTACTTTGAAGAGCCTGCGTATTGATGTAGCAAGGGTCATCAAAAAGATCCACTCGACATGTGTGCTTCATTAACGAGGCATCTCGCTGACAGTGCACCCCTTTCTCCTGGGCATTACCTATAGTGATTAGCAGTGAACAATTCATTATATTTTTGGTAACAGTAAATCATGTTTAAGTAGAGAAATGACAGGAAGCTATTAAGTCATGCCTACTCTAAACAAAAACTGAACACTGATTTTTAGGGTCTCACTCATAAAATCAAGACATGCACCAATCTTCAAGGAAAAGACACTTTTTCTCTGGCCTTCCTTTCCTTCTCTGCCTTGTCCCTCAGCTGACCCATTATCCCCAAAGCAGACCAAAGATAAGCAAAAAGATTCTGAAGAGGAATGGCTGGAGAAAAAACAAGAGGGGTGGGGTTGCAATTGTCTCAGCAAACAGTTCCAATCCATGGCTTGGCTGTAGTAGTAGCATAGCAATCAGAAAAACACACATATTATATAAAATCTGAATATCTATTTGTTAAACTCTTTTTCAAAAGCTTCATTACTTAATTCAAAATTCTTACTTCTTGTGAACTAAGTATATTTTTAAAATAATAAATGAATTAATAAATTAAAATTCTTAAGTATGGGAAGTTTGGTATCGGTTTTACTCTCAAAGTTTTCTCTTGCCAACCTCAGCCTTGCACCAATTGCAATATTTCATTCTGTTATTCAATGGATAGGACTCTACCTTCAGGTTATCTCCTTCTTCCCTCTTAAGCTATTCTCTTCCCGTCCACTCTATTTTATACATAGTGCCTACAATTATGTTTTAAACTGCAAATCTGGACATATTTCTCAGTTTAAAAACCTTCTGATTGCTTCCCACACTCTTTGACAAGCCGTAAACCCTGTTTTATTGTACTTGGCTCCCCTTCCTCCTTTCTCCTTCCAGATCTCTGCTTGGGGTCACACTGACCTTGCAGTATGGTCTCCATAGTAAGGCCCCTCTTCTCTGATTGACATGCTCTTCTCTCCCCTTATCCATCACTCTTGCCCTTCAGATGTCAGTTTAAACTCCTTTCTTCAGGAAAGCATTCACTGACCCTTCAAACTAGATTGGATCTCTTCTTTCCTAGTATTTTGTGCTTAACCACTGAAGCCCATACCACAAGAACAATTCATTTTTTATTTGTTATTAATTGTTGGAGTTCTGCACACATCTCAACCATATGCTCTATGAAAACAGGGATGACGTCTGCTTCACAGCTGTCACCCTGCACATACCTGGCATATAATACTGAATTCATGGACATCAGCACTACCTGATGGCGTGAAGTACTCTGTGGCATCCAGATAGTTCTTTACTAAGAATGCCAGGATAGGATATTTTGCTTTTCTGTTTAAACAAATATGCTTAAATCTTAGCTAAATGTACTATCCCATGAGGTGCACATGAAGTAGTGACATTCCATTGCTTTGCCATAAAACAGCATTAGTTCTTTATTGCTTCAGTCATTGAACTCCTCTGAGGACCTGTAGTGACACCCCTTCTTCCACAGAAAATCTTAACTAAGCTTCTTCAGAAATCTTCACCATAATTGATTTTAAGACTACCAGAAAAGAGTCTCTACAAAAGTTCAATGTAGATAAATTTCCTATTTTCCTGTTGCTCTATTTTAGTGACCTGGGAGAAATCAGCACTGCAGGTGCTGAACACCCCTTTACTAGTTTTTCACAAACACTTATCCAATATAGTAGTTTGTAAAAATGTGCTTGCAAATGCAAAATATGATAATAAAAAGACAAATCCTTTAACAAGGGCTCTGGCCATGAGCTGGAGCTTCAGAGAGATGTCTACATTTCTAAGATAAAATAAGTTACCAATTGGGCTCCACAGTAACAGCTGGCAGGGGGAGGAAAGAAAGGGGAGAAGCAGCTCTCCTCTTCTCAGGTGTTGTCCTTGAAGGGTTAACTTGCCCAAAACAGTGAAAGAAAAAGCTGCTTTTATGTGAACTTCTGCTGACTATGAACTTCTGAGCCCCTCCCCTTCCATTCTGGGCATAAAGTTCTGAAACTACCTGAACTTGGGATTCAGGGGATTAATTGATTACAGTGAAAGCTGTACACTCTGAACCTGGCTGCAGCCAAATAATATTTCCTGCTATCTTCAGTGCCTTGTCTCATCTGTCCCCTACAACAAATTTAACGCATAGTGGACCACACCTCATGGTGAGTTAAGTGCTATGATTCTGTTAACTGACAGTATAGAAACTTAAGAGTACACCAAGTAGGGGAAGCCCAGCCAGATTACATTCTTACTACCTGCTCCTCCTTTACTCCTTTTCTGTTTGTCAGCTGTTTCATGCTATCTGGTCAAGTGGTATACTTCATATGTAGGATCTCCTGAGAGAGGAGTGGGGTTTCTGTAGGGAGAGAGGTCAACAGAGCACCTCTTTTGTTTGTATATTTTGCAACATATTACAGTTTCCATTTGCTTGGTTAAGAGGATTTATGAGTTGTATTATCTACTTTAAACTAAATTTACTTTCACAAATGGAAAGTGACTAAAAGATCACTGCAAAGAAATCAAGGATTGAAGATCAATCTTTTACTCTTAGTACAAACTTCTTCTTGGTTGCATTATGAGGTTATGAATAATAACAATATAATCAGGTGAGACTTTGGTGCCCAAAAGTTAAAATTACCAAGATTTAAAATGAAGATCTACATCTATTTTCTTTATCAGTAAATGCTCTAAACGCATACTGGGTCTCAAAATGTTATCTAATGATAGCATCTAGTTGTTCTGATTAGCAAGACTGTTAGAAAACTGTTTACCATAAATTCCAACTTCAAAGTATTCTATGTGTATTTTATAATGTCTGCATAATACACTGGCATATGTATTTATAACAAATGATTGAATAATCATTTGTTTAGGAGTTGCTGCTCATAAAAAATTATTGAAATTAGAATATGACCAAATATTCTAAATTCATATGAACCTGTTTCACACCCCTGTGGTACCTCTTACTGTGTGGCCTGAAGCAAGTTAAGTAACCCCACCCCATACCCCACACCCACCAAGATTCAGTTTTCATATCTTTAAACTAGAGTCATGAGGATTAAAGGAACTAATGTTAGTGAGACACTGAACATAGACTTTGCCTTTTGGTAGGCAATCAATAAATAGTTATCATAGTGCTCAGCTGTTTATTTATTCATAGATGCTAAGCCCCTATACATGATATTTATCTCTTACTGCAATAACCCTCCCCATTCTTTAACTCCTGTTTGTCCTGTACAACTCCGCCCTGAAACTATTTAAAACCTGAACCTTCAGAAAGCTTTCTCCTGAGTTCTTCCTTCCTTCAAGTTGGGTTAGATGCCACTCCATAATATATTTTATCTGTTTACTTGTCTATCTTTCCCCTCCAGGTCACAAATTCCTTGAGTCCTAAAGAAGAAAGACTAGAACAAAAATTTTTTTAAGTAGATCTTGCATCTTCATTACCTGTTTATTACTCAGAAGAAAAATAGCTAAATGAACAAATGACTGAATGTCTATTCTGTTTTCCTATCTTAGCATATTTTACCCCATCATGTTCTGAGGATCCTGAATCAACCTTTAACATATCTGCTTCTTCCCAAAGTATTAGCCTGAGTTGACCACATCAAATATACCATTCAGAAGGATTACACAGAAGCCTTGATGTCTGTATACAGTCTCTCCTGAAAACTACCATTGCTTTTTTTTTTAAATGCAACATCATACTGAAGTTGGCAATGTTGTCTTAAATTTTTAAAAAAGGCACCCCACCCAGTACCCAAATTTAACATCATTCTAGGCTAAAGTATATGGTTGATGAGAGCTTAGTCACATATGCCAGCCATTATGCATTCCAAAAGCTCTCTGTGCCAAATATTACTCTGAAAACCTATTCAACCTGCCTAAGAGAAGATTTGTGGCAGAAAATAAATATATACACCATATATGTACTGTAACAAAATTTTCAAGTGTAAGCCCTTAAGGTTTATGGAACTTTAACACCATTTTGATTTAGAATATCAACATTTCCATTTAACTTGAAGGTTTGGGAAACATTATTATACTTTGCTAATTATTTTTTTTCCATGCGGAAAAAATTTAGTGCTAAGGATAGAGATTATTTCTGTGTTTAGAACAAATACAATTAAATCCTTCAATAACCTATTGCAATATTTATAATACTCCCAAAATTCAAGTTTTAAGTCAATATTTGAATAAATAAATGTCTTGGGAGGAAAAATCCAAACCTTATTAAAAATATTTATATAGGTGTCTCTCAAATGCTTACAAATGCAGCTCTGGAAAATGCCATAAAAACTATATATTTGCTGTTCTGGCAACTGGCTAATTTGCTCGTTGGTCAAGAATTTCAGATCACTTTTTAAACACATGCCCAGGAGTCACAGTAAGGTGATATAAACCTGAAATGTGAACCTGACTTATGGTTATCTAGGGATGAAAGGACATTACAGTAGGAAAATGCCTTTTGCCACAATAGAAGGGACCTTTCTTGTAGCCTCTGGAGCATGGGTTGAATTCCTCTATCCCACCAGGATTTTAGTGGCCAAGATTGGTTTTTTTTGTTTGTTTGTTTTTTGGTACCAGTGATTGAACCCAGCGGCCCTTACCACTGAGCCATATCCCCAGCCCATTTTATTTTGTTTTGCTTTGCTTTTTGTTTTGAAACAGGGTCTTGTTGCTCAGGGACTCACTAAATTGCTGAGGTTGGTCTCAAATTTGCAATCCTCTTCCTCAGCCTCCCAAATTGTTGTGATTCCAGGCGTGTCACTGCACCCAGCTAGTGGCTAAGATTTGGCAAGAAGGCTTTCTAATATTATGATTCCTCATCAAAAACAATGTTGTAGTTTAGGGACTAATCGTGGAAGAATATATCTAGTGGAGGACTTTTTTCAATTACAAACACCATCTCTCATTTCCCCAAGACTCTGCAAGGTTCGCAGTTAATCATTACCATAGAGCCACCATGATGAAAGGCAGTAACAGAATTTTAACTGTATTTTTCATAATGTATTTCATAACTGTATTTTTCATTTATGCTCCAGTTTAAGCAAACCAGAATAGTATCATGTAGTGTAATTGTGTAAGAGGCATCATTGCTAAAATTATTTCTATGGAAAAACATCCCAGGTCTAAACAAACTTTTATTATAAAGACTACTTGTGTGTTTGGATCTGCTTATGGTGGCTTAGGGCATATAAATGCCACATATGACATAAGAAGTTACACTGTTGGTTTAAGTAAGAAATAAAACCAAGATAATAAAAAACGATCAATTTTGGATTCTATAACTAAGCTTTACTTACAAAAAGAAAAATCTTGAACAAGGTTAAAATGATGCCTCTGTTAATTCCTTCATAAATTTATTCTTTTGGAGGAAGAATAAAATGTAAAAAATAAAAATCAAGATGAGAGCTCTTGGGAGAAGGGGAGGAGGAGGAGCAGAAGGAGAAGAGGAGGAAAAGGAAGAACAAGAAGAGAAGGCGGAGGAAACAGAAGGAGGAGGAAGAGGGAGGAGGAGAAGGGGGAGGGGGGAGGAGAAGAAGGGGGAGGGGTGGAAGAGGAGGGAAACATGACACTTTCCTCCAATAGTTGTATTGTGATTTACAATACTGTACTAATTCTAGAAGTTGATAATTTTCATTCAGTGAGTTCTCTTCAGAAGCTGGGTGACTGAGGATGCAAGATATGATCATGATGACTGTTTAATGGAGAGGAGGGAAACAAGCTGAAAAGGGAGGTATCTGGGCAGGAGTAAAAACTTTCATGTTCCTTAGGATATTGTTACAGGTTCAAGACTCATTTTTCTTCTCTGCCCCATGCTGTCTCTGCCCACAGTCCGGGTGCCAGCACACTTAGTTCTGAAGCTTATTCATTTTCATTCTTTCTGTTTCTCCCTGTCTTTTTCTCTCCCTCCCTTTCTTTCCCTATCTTTTCCACTGTACCTGGATAATTCCTACTTATCCCTCAGATCTTGATTTTGCTGTCACTTCCTTTGGAAGACCTTCTGTAGTTCCCTAGATTAAATAGGTTTCCTACTATTTGTTCCCATATCATCTTGGGCTTTGTGACATTCATTACATTTGTTAGCATCTGTTCATGTGTGTCTTTCTGACTAACCTGCAAAGTACATGAGTGCTAGTTTTGTCTATCCCTAGCAGCTAGCACAGTGCCTGGTCCATGAGAAGTCTTCAATAAATATCACTGAATGAACTGCTGAATAAGTGAAGAATATATAAATAAGATTAAAAAGGACACAGAAATATTTTCAAGGAAGCTCAGCACAGGGAGATGTTTACAATATTACAGGTTATCCATGGTATGTCCCTAACTGTTAAATCCCTGGGTTAAGAATTTCCTGGGTGAAGGAAAAGAAAGAGGGTAGGAGGAATTACAGATCTTAGCATAATTTTAAAAAGACATTCACATTTACAATTATTAGCTTGATTAGTCATATTATTAAGAATCTGTTTAGAGTTTTAAGTAATCTTGAAGAATGCCATGATATTTTAATCAGGAGTCATGTTTTTAAATAAGTTAAAATACTGCCTTAGCTTACTATGCCTTTATTTATTTATTTGTTTGTTTGTTATAGGTGAACACAATATCTTTATTTTGTTGTTATGTGGTGCTAAGGATTGAACCCAGTGCCTCATGCATGCTAGGCAAGAACTCTACCTCTGAGCCACAACCCCAGCCCTTATTATTCCTTTTTTTTTTTTTTTAGGATGGAAGAGAGTGATAATCAGTTACACTAGAAACAATAAATCCTCATATGTCCCTCCACTGTGTAAAAATAATAAAATTAATAGATTGCACTGGCATAATTGCATAGGAAATATAAATATAAAATATATCCTTGAAGTGACTACTTTGTAGATGGCAATCTCCTATTATTATGTTTAGAGTTTTAAGTAATCTTGAAGAATTCCATGATATTTTAATCAGGAGTCATGTTTTTAAATACATTAAAATACTGCCTTAGCTTTAGATCTGGTTATCCAATTCTGTCCTCCACTGCATTATTTATACTGTTCAGTCATCTCCCCCTCTAAAGCTGCAAAACTTTCCTTCCCATATAAATATTTTATACAACTTTAAGAATGAAAGGACTAACTGGCAATATAACTTGTTTTATGAAAATGTATTTCCAATCAGACGGCTGATGTCCTGTTTGCATTGTGAACAAGTTTTGCCTAACATTAATGATCACACACAGCAATAAAACATGTAGTACCCTAAAATAAATAAATAAATAGACAAATAAATAAAACAAAAACATGTAGTACCCTGGTAAGTATGGAGCAGATGGGCCCCTAATTGGTACTCTCACATTTCAAGTACCCTTTTGTTTCCTTTGCCAACCTGGAACAAAGGTTTTATCTTAATCCTAAAGAATTTGACAGGCAGTTTTCATAATATTAGTTTACTGTTTGGTCTTTGAAATGAAAATCCCTTGAGTTTTGAGAAGAGACAGCACCGTTCCAGAAAAAAAAGTTTTCATAATGTCAGAGAAGTGATAGACTCCATATTGCAAAATCATCAGCATGATGGATCACACAAGAACAAGAGGGAACCACAAGCCTTTCTAGTAATACATCTGTGCATTCTGGGCCTCTCTGGGAAGACTTCAGCAAAAGGATTGTGTGTTTAGTTATATATACACGACTTTTCCATAAAGATTTTAAGAGCAAGGGCCACACACATTCATATGACTTAAAAGGGATCAGGAGGTAGCAGATGGGAAAAGACTCTGTACCTACCTATTGCCCTGCTTTGTTCCAGACAGTTCTCATATACACTGCTGCACTTGGAGTTTCCAGGCTAAATGAAAATCAAATTGTGAAACATTATTTTTTTTCTCTTTTTCTTTTTCTCTCTTCTTTCCACATTTTTATTGGTGCGTTTAAATGGTGAAACATTTATGTACACATGCATAAATTTTAAAAAGAAAAAATACTTATAATACTCCCAGAGGAATATAATAGGTAACTTCACTTTCTAACACAAGAAATGCCAGGTCAGAAACTGAGATTCTGGATGGGGAGAGCATACTCTTTTCATAGTATTGCTTTGGAGTTAGAGAGGTGGGTCTGATCGTGTAGGGGGGTGATCATAAAGACTGCTAATGTCCTGTGTCCTCTGTGCTTCCTTTTCTGTTTGGGAGTTCACATTTTAGGACTTAAAGTCTCAGACAGAAAGTGACTTTCAGGACATTGCATAAACAAGGGCCATGCAGCCAACATTCCACCTAACTTTGAATTGACAGACTGGAACCCTATTCTACTGAGGTTTTTAACCAAGCAAACTTATTCTTAAAAATCTCACCCAATAAAAGGGCTTCAATCATTCCTATATATGTAGCTGTCTTCAGCAATGGAATGGGGATCAACTAATGCCTTTGAGAAGGGTAATGTCTATGCTTTAGAAAGATTTATCTGGAGGGCTAGGGTTGTGGCTAGTGGCAGAGCATTTGCCTCACATGTGGGAGGCACTGGGTTCGATCCTCAGCACCACATAAAAAAATAAATATATTGTGTTCACCTACAACTAAAAAATATTTTTTAAAAAGAAATATTTATCTGGCAATACTGTGTAGGAGGGTTTGAGGAATGAGTCTGGAGACAGGAAAGGAGCTTTCAGAACCATCTAGGCAAGAGAGGACCAGAATTTAAAAGGATAACAGGAATGAAAAAGTTTTAAGTATCTTCAAAAGACATTTTCATGGGAGTAATCTTGTCTTGAAAACAAAGTCAATATGGAACCAAAAATGTGATAAAAACAAAAGACAATGGATTCATGAAAAAGTTGCAAAGCCATAATAAATATGAATAAATCAGTGCAAGAATTGAGTTTGAAGTCGAGGAGAAAATGCCAAATTCAACTTTTATATAAATAAGCTTGGTAATACAACTTGGCATTACAGCTGGAGAGGTAAATAAGGGCTGAAGACAGAAGGTGGAGGAAGTATGTGCACAGGTGGCCTGCTAGAGGTAAGATGAGAGCCGAGGGTAGAGCCTCAAAGAGTGCTTACATTGTAGAAAGGTGGGGCTGGGATTTTCAGGAGAGACGATAGAAGAAAATAAGAGATGAAAAGAAGATACAACTTGCTTTGAAATGTGTTCATAATAAGATGGATCAATGAACGATAAACGGCAACATGTGATAAAACAAATACAGTAAAATGTGAATTGTAGAAACCAGATGTTGATTATGTGAGTGTTCACTATATAGTTCTTTTAACTTTTCTGTACATTTGAAACATTCATAATAAAATGTTGGAGAAAGAAAGGTAGGTAGGCAGGCAAGCAGAAAGGTAGACAGGCAGTAACTAGAAATGTGGGAAAAAAAATGACAAGATGGAAGGGCTTTGAAAGCTAAGATAAGAGATCTCTAAAAAAGAAGAGGTAGCCAACATGCCAAATGCTGTAGACAGATGCAAAATACAGAGAGGAAAACAGATTTAAAATTAAAGCAGATTATCATTGTAAAAGTAATTTATTTCAAGTTGTCAAGCAGAGTTCAAATCCTAACAGTATAATGTAGATAGGAAAGCAAAGACAGAGGCAATTCTTTCCGGAAGTTTGTGAGTGAAAGGAAGGTAAGAAAGAGGTAGGACATTATTAGTTGGATTGTAGGAGTCCAAGTTTATTTGCAGAAGAGAAAGAACTGACAGAGGATAAATACTGAGACAGAAATTAATGGACAGGACAAGGGTAGATTGAAGAGATTTGGATCAAAAACACAGGGGGAAAATTAGCTTTGGAGACAGTTGCTAAGAAAGAGAAGCAAGGAGAACACAGGAAGACTTGGGGATGGGAAAGGGTGAAATTGAGGATAATATGTTGGATGGCCTGGTCTTTCCAGTGAAGTGAGATATGAGACTGCTGAGGCTGTGGTTGGTGGACTGGGAGTAAAAATGATCTGGTACAGGCTCTGACTATGATTCACTCTCCCACCAACCATTTGAAAAAGATGAGACTTTCCCTAAATTGGCATTTGGAAACCCTCAAATGAAATGCTGTAGTGATAGGGCCATAGTTACGCTGCTGGTTCCATAACAATAAAACATTACTTACTAAATAGCATAACTTTTCACAGCGTATTGGGCAATAAGCCATTTGTTCTGTAGTTTGAACTTTGATCCGCACATCTGAAATGCCACCTGCAGGTGGCTGCTTCCCTGGGATTTCATTGTAGTATTCATGATCTTCTCTCTCTTCTGAAAGACCATCAATATGCACCTCCTCACTGTAAAGGAAAAAAAAAAGAAAGAAAGAAAGAAAAGAAACCCTAAGAGGTTGGGCAGGAATTCAAGTGATGTAAAGGATGCAAAGGGAGTAGAACCAAGCAAATCATCCTGAAAACCTTTGCATTTGTGTTTTAAGTGTATAGCTGTGCTACGTGATAGCAAACTTCTGGATGGAAGCAACCAGATGGTTGAGTTGTTTAGTTTTTGTAGACAATCAAAGTGGAGTAATCAAAAAAAAAAAGTGCCAAGGGTGATGCTTTGTGTCTCCCCTCAGGAATAATAAACTCTCTAAATATAAGGCATTTTTGTCATAAAATGCAAAGGCTTTCTGGGTATCTCCAGCAGGCTTCAATTGTTGCATTTTGGAAATGTTTTGCTCAAGGAAAATTTAGATATTGTTCTTTGGGTAGAAGACCTGGCCCAGTTTATTAAACTAAGATGGAAAAAGACTAAGAACACTATGGCTAGCTATCTTGTCTTCACAGATCCAGACAAATATATGGGACTCATAAGGAAATATTAGAACCATATGTAGTAAGTGGGTACATTTATATAAACATGCAATTGGTTTTAAAACTGAAACAGGGTAAAGAAGAAACAAATAGGCTTTTCTTTCAAATTAGAAGTAATAAAAATTTGTTATAAAAAAGAATATATCAAGACTATTTGGAACAAGCAGATTCTACTGACAACTCACAAAGTTTTGTTGAGTTCATTATACATAAAACAAAATGATAGCACTAAGACCAATGTGCTATTCTGGAAAAATTCAGCATCAAGGCTTCTGGTAAGGGTTCTCATTTGCTACCCTAGACTACCTCATTAAGGGACATCTCCAAGCCTAGTGTTTGCAAGCCAGAGGCTTTGCTGCATTCCATACATGGTGGAGTCTAAGAGACCTAAAAGAGTTCAGCTTTCATTCTGAACTTTCTGTGCTTTAGATAGTACAACGAGATCATTGGGTCATGTACTATTCCACCCGCTGCCACAATTTAGTGAAAGCTGATCTATTTATACTGCAAATTAGCAAGCAAGAAGTTCTATAGTAGACATTTGATTCTTATTATTTTGTTCTTGGTTCTTGTTTTTACATAAGAGATCTGGGGTTTAAAAAAAATCCAAAGAACTTGTTGATGTTTATTATTTTATAATTGTATGTAATTCACAGCTTTCTGTTACACTAGAGAAACAGGGCTGATTGTTTATTACTTTTATTGTCTCCTGTAATCTTGTTACAAAACAAGAGGAGATATCTTTATAAATATGAATGGAAGAAAATAGAAAATGTCACTATAATTTTGTACTGAAACTGCACCTAATTATAAGAAAATAATTACTAATTTCCTTAGTCAATTTTAAAATATATTAATTTTTAAAATAGAAAGCAAGTCAAATAATCACAGAACTCTTGGCTGACCTTTCACAAGAAGTATTCAAAGAAGGATTTTTCAAGTACTGTTTAAACCGGAGTTCAAAAGCCTGCCCAATAGTACTTATGACATCTTGGGCCATTCCATTGCGGCATTCTAATATGTGGCAGGCTGTGAGAAGAGATACAAAAAAAATTATAACAAATTTCCAATCAGGTAAGATTATATAAAGTTAAAATACTTCCAGAATATTAATTGGTAATTGAACAAAAGGCAGCAATAGGTTTACAGCTCTCTTCAGAGAGAAATAATGAGGAATACTTCATATTTCATATAAATCAATGAGAAAAATAATATTCAGTTTTATATCTAAAGATTTCCAAACACAAATTTTGGTCCCAAGACAGGTATTTTGGCCCACATTTTAATCAAAATAGACTGTCATGACTAATGATATGACAAATATTTATATACTATCTCTTGAATTCAATGCAGGAGATCTTAACATAGTACCTGACAAGAAGATGGAATTTGAGGTCTCGTGTTTGTATCGCATATTTCAGAAGAAAAAAGATAACTTTCCAAACCTATTCCAAACATGGGGGATGAGTTGCTGGTAAAAATAGGGGCTTTGGAATATCCCTTTCTCTAGTCACCCTTTTTGCCCTGGCATTGCTATTATTATAAAGCAGTGGTAAGTACAATCATGGCCATCTTTGAAATCCCACCAATGAATTTCTCTAATAAGCATTAAAATCAAAATCTGGTGATGCTATCATTACCAGAAGATATTAAAGTTCTTACTGGGTACCTTTCTGAGAAGCTTTTACTGGGAAGAGGCTAATTTTTACATGTAAAATAAATAAGAGGTGGAGGCATCCACCAGCATCTCAAAATTACATGAGTTAGAAAATCTGCTGCTATTATGTAAAAACAAGAGCTTGTGTTTACAGTACAGACTATAAATTTATCTCCCCACCACATATAACAACATTCTTGATTCGGCTGGAGTATGGTGTCAAATTTAGGGCCTTGAATATAAAAATATAATGGACTGAGTTTCATAACAATGACTTAGAGTCATTAGAATGATTTAAAGATTGAGTCAATAAATCTTATGAGGGGGCAAAAAAGAACTTTTGTATAGCCTGAAGAATTGAGGGATGAAGAAGACACTTGATATCAGTTTAATATACATAAGAATACTATTAAAAATGTCAGCTATGCTCTCTGAATAGTAAAGAAAAAATGTGATAAGTTTAAGGGAGTGCATGGAAAACTAAATTAAATACCAGGGAAAGCATCTTGGGTCTCAGAATTTTTAAACCAAAACTGGAAACAATTACTACAAGGGAAATATGAGGCAAGAAGAGATAACTGTCTTTGTGGAATGGTTTAATGGCATTAACTTGGAAGCAAGATTTTATGCCTTGTATTGTCTTGGAAAGGATATCATGTTTAATTAAAAGGCAACCATTCCCATCTTACAGAATTCATAGAGCTGATAAACAGTAAATTATAGAACCCGTAACAGTGTTTCTTATACTGATATTGATAATCATCTCATGGAATCTCAGATATTCTCATTCCATAATTAATGTGACTTTTATTTAAGGGAATTATTTCTCTATAAACACTTTTGCAAGAATGTGTGCTTGTAAAACTCAGTTAAGAATACCTGTAAATACACAACCTTCTCACCAAAAGAAAACATTTGGTCTATATTTAGATTGCCATTTTATACTGTCCCTTTAGTTTTCTCTACAGCAGCTTGTCATAGTGACAAACTCATAAGGGACTTACAAGGGACTTAAAAATACTTGTTGAATAAATACTTGTTTCCCTGAAACACATCTATATTTTTACTTTAAGAAATTAACTTGGATTTTATTGAAGTGAAATCTACCATGAATCCCCATAGTAAGGCATGTTTTTATAGTCATTGAATGAAAAATGATTGCTTGAGTCATTTTTTGGAAATATAGTCTTTCTTTCCTAGCCAGTGCTCATATACTAAGATCTACAAAGTACCCTTGGAGATATATCCTCCAGTTGAACCAAGAGAAGTCATGTTACATTCTACAAAAAGGTAATTCATTTTGTTTTTAATCGTATACGTTCATGATCCAATTAAAAATAAAATCAGAAATTATATCAGAGAACAATTTTTGTAATTTTATTTTTTCTTAAGGTTGAAGATGTTAAGGAGTGAAGATGAGGAAATAATGAGAGAGACAAGAGATTCAGTTGTAAATAAATAAGAAAAACAAAATTGCACTTCCAGTGAAAGAGCAAAGAGAATAAGGATATTTACAAGAATTCTGTGCAAAGACTCAGATCTGAGTTCAAGTTCCAATTATGCTACCATCTTTGTGACCCTGAACAAGCCACTTCGTGGCAAGGTCCTTGCTTACCAAGACAATGCACTGACTGATATCTTTTTTAAAATATTTTTTTTAGTTGTAGTTGGACACAATACCTTTATTTTGTTTATTTATTTTTATGTGGTGCTGAGGATCGAACCCAGTGCCTCACATGTGCTAGGCGAGTGCTCTGCTGCTGGGCCACAACCCCAGCCCCACCAGCTTATCTTTGAAGTCCCTTTTTGCTTTATAAAAATCCTATCCTTTTTCTGTCATAGTAGCTTTTTTATGTTTTTTAATACATAACAGTAGAATATATTTTGACATATTATACATATATGGAGTACAACTTCCCATATATCTGGTTGTACATGATGTGGAATTACACTGGTCATGTATTCATATATGAATATATATGAACATAGAAAAGTAATGTCTGATTCATTCTACTAACTTTCCTACTCCCAACTCCTCTCCTTTCCCTTCATTCCCTTTAGTCTAATCCAAAGTATTTCTATTTTTCTATACCCATCCTTACTGTGAGTTAGCATCCGAATATCAGAGTTTTCGTTTGGGGAGATTGGCTTATTTCACTATTCATGATAGTCTCCAATTCCATCTATTTACCAGCAAATGCCATAATTTCATTTCTCTTTATGGCTGAGTAATATCCCATTGTGTACATAAACCACGTTTTCTTTATCCATTCATCTGTTGAAGGGTACCTAGGCTGGTTCCATAGTTTAGCTATTGTAAATTGAGCTACTATAAACATTGATGTGGCCATGTTACTATAGTATGCTGATTTTAAGTACTTTGGGTGTACACCAAGGAGTGCGATAACTGGGTCAAATGGTGGTTCCATTCCAAATTTTCTGAGAAATCTCCATACTGCTTTCCAGATGCACCAATTTACAGTCCCACCAGCAATGTATGAGTGTATCTTTTTCCCCACATCCTCACCAACATTTATTGTTACTTGTATTCTTGATAATTTCCATTCTGACTGGAGTGAGATTACATCTCAGTATGGTTTTCATTTTGCATTTCTCTAACCACTAGCCACTAGAAATGTTGAACACTTCCTTTGCTCATTTATTGACTAAGGTTTTTTTTGTGTGTGCGTGTGTGTGTGTGTGTGTTAAATTTTTTGAGTTCTTTATATATCTTAGAGATTAATGGTCTATCTGAGGTGCAGGTGGCAAAGATTTTTCTCCCATTCTGTAGGCTCTCTCTTCACATACTTTATTGTTTCCTTTGTTTTGAAGAAGCTTTTTTAGTTTGATTCCATCCCATTTGTTGATTCTTGATTTTACTGCTTGTACTTTCTTGTTAAGAAAGTTGGTTCCTAAGTCAACATGATGAAGATTTAAGACTACTCTTTCTTCTATTAGGTGCAGGGTCTCTGGTCTAATGCCTATGTCCTTGATCCACTTTGAGTTGAGTTTTGTGCAGGGTAAGAGATGGGGATTTAATTTCATTTTGCTACATATGGATTTCCATCTTTCCTAGCACCATTTGTTGAAGAGGCTATCTTTTCTACAGGAAAAGAAGAATTCAAAAACTATCCCTGTTTGCCAATGACATGATTCTGTACTTAGAAGACCCAAAAAACTCCACAAGAAAACTTCTAGAGCTCCGAAGTAAATTCAGAAAGGTAGCAGAATATAAAAATAACACCCATAAATCAACTATTGTCCTATATATAAGTGATGAATCAACTGAAAAAGAAATTAGGAAAATTACCCAATTCACAATAGCCTCAAATAAAAAAATAAAATATTTGGGAATCAAATCTAACAAAAGAGGTGAAAGACCTCTACAATAAAAACTACAGAACACTAAAGAAAGAAATTGAAGAAGACCTTAGAAAATGGAAAGATCTCCCGTGTTTTTGGATAGGCAGAAATAATATTGTCAAAATGGCCATATTACCAAAAGAGCTAGAAATATTTTTTTAATATTTATTTTTTAGTTGTCATTGGACACAATATCTTTATTTATTTATTTATTTATTTTTATGTGGTGCTGAGGATCGAACCTAAGGCCCCGCACATGCTAGACAAGCACTCTACCACTGAGCCACAATCCCAGCCCAAAGAGCTAGAAAGATTTAATGCAATTCCTACTAAAATTCCAATGATGTTCTTCATAGAAATAGAAAAAATACTCATGAAATTTATTTGGAAAAGTAAAAGACCCAGAATAGCCAAAGCAATCTTTAGAAGAAAAGTGAAGCAGGAAGCATCACAATACCAGAGCTTAAATTATACTACAGGGCTGTAGTAACAAAAATGGCATGGTATTGGCACCAAAACAGACAGGTAGACTCATGGTACAGAATAGAAGGCACAGAGACAAAACCATATAGACACAATTATCTCATACTAGACAAAGGCACCGTAAACATACATTGTCATAGTTCTTAAATCCACTGAGGACAAGGACGATGCATGTGGGCCTACAGGAAGAATGAATAAACCAAACAGGCTGACCATCCTCTGTTATTTCTAACATATTTTCAAAATGATTTATTTATCTCAGCTTCTTTGATTCTGATACCTGGGCAGATTCTAAGAATATAATTTTCTGTATTTCTTCAGATAACCCTGTTACTGGCATATTACTTTTTGAGGAGATTAACAGAAAAAAAAAACCCAAACAGTGGTTCATGTTCCTTTACATAAAATAAGTGACAATGGACAAATAGACTGACTATGTGCAGATACTTTACTCAGTCTTACCTCCTTCAGGAAGCACAAGTATTTAAAAAATGATACTGTCACCACTCACAGACACTATTTATTT